TGATTCAGTTGTGAGGATTTCTGTTTTCTTTAATTTTGTTTTCTTTACATTGAGTTGTAATCCATACTAAAGGCTGCAGTCCTTGATCTTCATCAGCAAGTATTTCAAATCCTCTTCATTTTCAGCAAGCAAGGTTGTCATCTGCATATCACAAATTGTTAATGAGCCTTTTCTGATACTGATATCAGCCAAACCTGATACTGCATTCGTCTTTATATAATTCAGTTTCTCATACTATTTGCTTAATATACAGATTGAATTGCATTCGTCTTTATATAATTCAGTTTCTCATACTATTTGCTTAATATACAGATTGAATAAGTATGGTAAGAAGGGATATAACCCTTCTGCACGTTTTCTGTTTTTAAATTATGCAGTATTCTCTTGTTCTGTTTTCAAAAATGCTTCTTGATCCATTTCAAGTTTGGCAAGAGCACAATTAATTGTTCTGGAATTCCCCTTTTTCTTAAGGCTATTGATAGTTCGTTACCATCCACGCAGTGGACAATTTGCAATGTCAATCAATCACAAGTTAGACGTGTTGGGGCACACAGTGCTCTCAGTCAAGATTCATCTGACATAAGCAGTGCTATTCCTTGCTTCCCATCCTCTTTCAAATCCAGCCTGAATCTCTGGGTGTTCCCTTTCAGTGTACTGCTGCAACTGTTGGATGATCCTCAGCAAAATTTTGCTTGCGTGTGATATCAATGATGCTGTTTTCTATCAATTCCTGGAGTCTAGTTTTTGGCTACTGATTTCTGTGCAGCTTGGACTTCTTCCTTCAGTACCGTTGGTTCTTGCTCATATTCTACTTCTTGAAGTGGTTGATTACCGACTAGTTCTTTTTGGTACACTGACTTTGTGTATTCGTTCCACCTTCTTTTGATGTTTTCTGTATAAGTCAATGTTTTGCTCATAGTCTTTCAATATTGCAATGTGAGGATTTAACTTTTCCATTTCTTTCAGTTTAAGATCTGTTATGCATGTTCTTCCTTTTTTGAATATCTAACTCTGCTCTTTGAAGTTTTCTGTTTAGCTCTTTGACTTCATCAGTTCTTCCACTTTAGCTACTGTACACTTTGATCTTTTCTTTTTAATGACCTTTTTATTTTTTCATAGACGATGTTCTTGACATCATCCCACAGCCCATTAGGTCTCCTGTCATTTGTGGCCAATGTATCAAATCTGTTCTTCAGATGGTCTTTGAAATTCAGATGTGATATACTCGGGGTCATATTCCGGCTCTTGTGGACTTTTAAAAGTTTTTCTTCACCTCAGCCTGAATTTTATATGAGCAATTGATGATCTGTTTCACAATTGACACCTGGCCTCATTTTAGCTACTTATATAGAGTTTATTCCTTTCTTCTTATATATGTAGTAAATTACATTTTTTGTATCCCATCTAGAGAAAATCATGTGTATGGTTGACATCTGTTGCCGAAAAAGGTATTTGTGATGAAGTTATGTGAACCCTCATGTGATCTCCAGATTACTTTCCATCACTATGACAATATTTTCCAATTTTTGCATTCCAATAATCAATAATGATCAAAAGTATCTTGATTGCATGTATAATCCATTTGAGTCCGAAGACATTGGTAGAATGTTTCAGTTTCTGTATCACACTAACTTTAGTACTTTGTGAATCAATTTGACTGAAAGTTGTATTGACTGGGTTTCCTTGTATCACAGACAGCGTTGTACTTCAAGATTTTGCAATGTCCTTTTGATGAAGAAAGTCACTCTATTCCTCTTGAATTTGTCATTCTGGACATAGTAAACCATCTGGTTGTAACACCTAAAACATTGATCTTTATACATTCCTTTTAATTTTTACTTGCACTTTTCCAAGATTCACACTTTGTTCTTTCCAAGTTCCAATTAGTAAAGATGTTTGCAGCTGTACCCAACTCGTGTCCTGCCCCATCAGCCCATGGAGGTCCCACGCGCTTTGCTTCATCCACATAGTGACGGTTACCTCTGCTTTGAAAGGCAGTTCTTTCTCAGTCATATTTTGAGTGCTGTCTAACCTAAGAGCTCATGTCTGGCTGTCTATATAACAATGATCTCCTGTTCTTAAGGTTTTCAGAAGCCAAGTCCTCTGAATTGGACAAGTCTATTCCTTCTTTGTAGTCTGTTCTTAATCGGGAAGCTCTGCTGAAACGTGTTAAATTTGGTATCTGAAAATACCAGAGCGACAGCTGCTAGCATCACATCAACATGTAAGCCACCATAACACCACAAACTGACAGACAAGTGATTGGGGCGAGTAGGACATACAAGCTTTTATAATATTCCCTTTATGGGGCACCACATGTTCTGGCTCACGACTCCTCCGTGTGGCTCATGCCAAATATGGGCAGATCTGACCATTAAAAGGATTTATTTTTTATGAGTAGGAAACTACTTCCTCATAGCTTTCCTTCCACCACCTCATTTTTATCTTTTGGACCCCCATTATTCAGCATGATAGATCCTTCTAGAGAATGGCCAGCCAACTCTGATGATTAAGTGAAACCAGACCAAAATGCATACTGGGGCCCTGAATAAACAAACTGATGTTGACCATAAACACCACAAGCTATTGTATCTCCTCACAATGCAGTGTCAGGGCATAAAAGGTATCCCAAAAATAGCAGGAGTGAACTATCTGCAAGTAGGAGGTGCAGAGGCATGGGGACGGAGGAGATGCCTGGGAAATGCAGCTGCTTCCCTGTGCCCCCATCCCACTAATGGTGAGGGAGCAGCAACAGAACAATGCATGTGCTCCCCACTCTCTGTTCACTTAAGTACAAGGTCTAGTCTTCCTTGGGGTGCACATACCCTACTGAGTTATTCTTGGCTAGAATTCTTATCTTCTCTTCATGGTTTTTACCAGCTCATTCACTATGTTGATTAGTAGGTAGCAGCACTTGAACATCTTTCTGCATTGAGGATTATTTCTAAGTGTACCCTGGGACTTTGGGATATGAGAGTATTAGAAAGGCCCTTTGAGAAATCTTCAACTGAAGAAAAAAATCATTACGATTTTGAGTAAGTGTGATCCTGGACTTCAGTGTCACACCACATCTATTTTATTTAACAGTGTATAGACTGATAATTTCTATTTCCTAGTGTCAAAACGATTCTTGGGAATAAAAATTCCTCTCTAGGTGGTGGTAATTAGAAACGGCTGGGGCAGATGAAGGAGTTGGCTGTTCTGAAGCATTTTTCTGCCTTTCAAAAGCAGCCCTGAAGAAAAAATGCTCAGAGGAGAAAGAGTATGATAGTCCTCAATGCATACCCAGAACGAGAGATCCAAGTGAAGCTGAGATTTGCAGATCGGGGTGAGAGAAAACTGAAAACCAATTGTCAACATGGTCTGACAGTTTATAATCTCAAAAGAGGGCGGGGGGAGACATTGGACAGTGTAATATATGACAAAATAATAATTTATGAATTATGAAGGGTTAAGGAGGGATGGGGAAGTGGGGAGGGAGGGGGAAAATGAGCAGCTGATATTAAGGGCTCAAGTAGAAGGCAAATGTTTTGAGAATGATTATGGCAACAAATGTACATATGTGCCTGACACAATGGATGTATGTATGGACTATGATAAGAATTGTATGAGCCCCCAATAAAATGATAAAAAAATTATCACACTAAGAGAAACATTATTTGAAAGGAAAAAAAATAAAATGGAGATTTTTCAATTTAGTCTATCAATATTTGGAGGAACTCCATATCCAGGAGTTTAGCTTAGAAGATCATCTACCTTATTTGAGATTTACATTGACCTTGATAAACGATAAAATTCTCTGGAAAATACTGTCTCTAGAACAAGTCCTCTAGGTTTGTAAATCACATACAAGCTGATAAGCATCTTCAATTGTGTGCTGAACATTGAATACTGGTGAAAGCTCGTCCTTCCTGCCTTGTCATATCCAACAACTTGAGTCAAATCCTAAAATGAGCTGAATAACAACTTTTAGTATGTGTCACCCGTCACCACTGACAATTTTCTTATGGACTGACGATCTCCTTTAAATATCTCTTTCCTGAACAACTTCCCCCCAATCTCTACCTGGGTGGCTGAAGAGCAGCTATTCTGAAATAGAAAAGGCATTCTTACCTCCTCTTGCTGGGGATGACTCCCATCTCCTCACTGTCGCCCTCCAGTGTGACGCGCCTGGCTTGCCACCACTCATCATCAGAGGCATTGATAACATGGAGAATATCTCCATATTTAAAACTAAGTCCTTGACTCGGCAGTCCACTGTCCTTGCTCTTGTCATAGTCAAACATGGCTCTGCAGGAATGATAAGAGAGAACAGTGTTAGGACCATCTGGAGGCTCTGACATAGGACTCCCAGTTTCATGTACTCTCTCTCTGCTCTAAGAACCATCATTTCCTCGACACCAACTTGCCACCTTCTGACTGTTGATCACAAATTGAGGTTGGCTCTTTCTTCTCCTGAGTGGTGGCAATGGCGGGCATCAGACCCTTAACTGTGGGGAACATCTCTTATTGTTGGAGACCATCAGATGTGTAAAAGCCATGAAGAGATAAAGGCAGCTCAGGAAATGAAATATTTCTCCCTCTCTAGCTGTAATCAGATTAAAGTGCCTGGTTTTACAGAGAAGTCCATCATACAGAGAAACACGGACCTCTTTCTAAATGAAGCACTATGTGCTCCGAATACATCCTCTCGAGTGCACCAGCTTGTAGAAGTCTTGCCTTTATTTTGGGGGGAAGTGGTAGCAATTTCATCGTCCCACTGAAGGGGACTCTGATGCTTCCACTTAGTAGAGCATTGAACTGTCACTGAAATGATGGGTGTAGAAGTTAGCAACGGAATAGCATGAACAAGTGGCTAAACTGTAATAAAAGAAAACAAAGTCTCACAAATGAAGGGAAAATGAAATTATAATAGTTTCATCACTAACTTTTAAAGCTTCCTTGTGTATCTGTCTGTCTGTCTTTGTGTGTGTGTACCAAAAAAAAAAAAAATCGCCCAAAGCCCCTGCCGTTGAGTTAATTGCAACCCACAGCCACCGTTTAGGAGAAAGTGTGTCTGCTCCGTGGTGTGTCTGGCGCTATAATGTTTAGGGGAGCAGATTGCCTCATCTTTCTTCCCAGGACCTACTAGTGGGTTGGAACTGCTGACCTAGAGATTATCAGCCCAATGCTTAACCCACAGTGCCACTAGGATTCCTTCATGTGTGTGAGTATAGGCTTCTGTATATAGGTAAACTTATGCACATCTCTTTTTTGCTCCCATTGAATGAATACTAAGCCTCCCTTATCATAGCATGTCTCACACTGCATTGGAAGGTTTGTTTTCTGTACTAAAGAGCCTTTGCTAAGCTTAAGATACTCTAACTGGGAGAGAGGGCTGGAAACACAGTTAAAATGACAAATGAGATTTTGGTAGCAAGTTGTTACCTGAGGGAGCTGACACTGTCTCAAGTCATATATTGTCCATTCCTTCCTTCCTTTCTTCCCCTCTCAAAATTTACCATCACACAGAAAGAGCTTTGATTTCTCTAGAATACCAGATTTCACCACCTCCCTGTTAAGTCTCTTTTATTCCGTTCTATGAATTTCATTGATGTGTAACCACTATGAATGTAGAACTAGTTGGCTCTGGGGAACAGATTTAAAAAAATCACTGAGAACCAAGTCTGATTATTTTCTTTTCTTCTTTTGTCCCTATGAAAGAAATGTCACTTCTGCTGTCATGGCAACTGAAAAAGAGCTGAAGACAGCAGTGAGAGCTTTCAGCTACTGCAGGAAAAGTTACATCTTCTGCAACACAATCTCTGCTTCCAGGAACTCTGTCCCTGGGTCTGGAAATGTTGTGAAGACATTCTTGGTCAAGTTCACCCTGAATGAATCATTTCTACCCCCATGATCTGGGGTTTCTTAGGCTTTAGATCTTTTTCCTGCAGCAGGCTGGTAGGTTTGAACTGCTGACCTTGATGTTGTTTGTATAACATGTCGACCACCAAGGCTCCCCAACAATCAAGTTGTTAAGAATGCAAACTCAGGGCCAGACTGCCACAGTCATATCTCGGTCCTATTTTTTACTAGCTGCGCAGCTGGTTAGGAGACCTAGTGCCACAGTGGGCTGTGCGTTGGACTGCCAACCACCAGGTCAGCTGCTCAAAACTACCAGTTGCTTCATGGGAGAAAGCTGAAGCTCTCTGCTCCAGTGAAGAGTTAGTTTCAGAAACCCATAGGGGCAGTTCTAATTGACTCAATGGCTTCAATGTTTTCCGTACAGTTGGTTACAGTGTCAACTACTCCTAGGCCTCGCTTTGTTTGTGTATAACCGTGATGATGATGACCAGCAGGCTGACAACAGTCCCTCCATGGTGGAATCGCCCTAAGAAGTAAGTGCTACATAAAATAATACATGGACCATTCAAAATTCACAGCCAGAGACCACTCCGGCTCATAGCAACCCTCCAGGACAGTAGACCAGTTTTTGTGTGTGTCCAAGGCTGTAATTCAAGAGCAGAATGCCTCATCCTTTACCCTCAGAGTAGCTGGTGAGTTTGAACTGCTGACCTTGCAGTTAGTGGCCCAACTCATCATCCATAAATAGAAGTATTGCTGTTCCATCCTTCTCCCCTTTTCTTCTTCAATGGCTACAAGTCAAGTATAAAAACCCATTCTACAGCTTCCACTCTGTTCGCACAGCAGGCCTGAGGCCTTGACTGATGCATGGGAACTTCAGTGTTAGGGGGTTTCCAACATTCCCTGAGCAGAATAGCTCAGGATGCCTAAACCATGCAAGTGCCATGGTTTATGCTGATCCATGCGTTCCTTCTAGGTTCTGCAGTTTTGCCATGTGCTAGGAAAAGGGTGCCTATTTGACCAGCCCATAATATAAACCATCAGGGGCAACCTTTCATATGTGTTGTCACAGTTAGTTACTAGAGAAACTAGCAATAACTCTACAGCAAGAGGACTCCGGGATGCTTGTGCATAGTTTCCTCGGAGTTTTGCTCCATGGTCCTCTTCCCTTCGCTGATTTTGCTTGGCACCCGTTGACTGGAACACCAAAATATTTGCCAGTGCACTGAAATGCTAAATCCCATGATGCCTTATAGCAACTCATCACGTCTCAGGGAGTCATGAGGACCCAACACACACTATCTTATTTGAGACAAGCTCTATTCCTGTGAACAAGGTACGATAGATAGAGTCTTAGCCTACTTTACAGAAGAGGCACGGTCACCTGATTAACCCAGAGGCAGAGCTTGTGTCTCCTGATCCCAAGTCTTAGGTTCAGTGCTCTTCACCTTGACCATACTTCACTTGCGAGATGATGTTGGTGGCAGCGAGGTTAGGTAAGACAGTTCTGACTCATGGTGACCCCATACTTTCTGAAGAGGACTGTTCCATAGGATTTCCAAGGCTTCTGTTAGCAAACCACTGGGCCCATGTTCAAAGGAGCCTCCGAGAGCGTTAGAACTATTGACCTTTCAGCTAGCAGTCAAGAGCTTAATGTTTGTGTCATCCAGGGATAGTCATCATAATTACCACCATCACTTGTGCCTTTATAAGGCAGCCCCAAACTGTCTCATTTAACCTCAAGCAACCATAAGGGAAACATTAGCATCCCCCAATTTATAAATGAAGGAAAGAGGCTCAAGAAGTTATATAACAATCTAGAGGAGAAAACAATGGCACTGACGGTACTGGGGGGATACGGGAGAGGTGGAGGAAATGAAGAGGGGTGTCTACAAACCCAGGGAACAAGTGATCTAAAATCGATGGCGAGGAGGGCATAGGATGCCTGATGGAGCTTGATCAAGTGTAATGTAGCCAAGAGGAATTATTACCGAAAGTTGAATGAACGTCGAACATGATAGCGAGAAAAGTAAAAGTAAATAGAGAAAAGAACTAGGAGGCAATAGACAGTTATAGAGGTCTAAATACAAGCATGTACATATGTAAATACATTCATATATAATGATGGGGAAATAGAATTAAGGTAGCAGACAGACATTGGGCCTTTACTCAAGTACTTCCCCCTCAATACAAGAACACTTTGTTCTAATAACCTGGCATTCTGTGATGCTCACCTTTCTGACACAATTGCTGAAGACAAAATGGGTGCATAAGCAAATGTGAAGAAAACTGATGGTGCCTGGCTATCAAAAGATACAGCGTCTGGGGTCTTAAAGGCAAACAAGCAGCCATCTAGATGAGAAGCACACCAGCCTGTGTGATGGGATCAGGTATCAAAGACCCAGAACAAAAAATCATATTGATGTGAATGAGGGGAATGGCAGAGTGGAGACCCAAAGCCCATCTGCAGACAATTGGACATCCCCTCACACAAGGGTCACAAGGAAGAGACGAGCCAGTCAGGGTATAGGATAGCACTGATAAAACATACAACTTTCCTCTAGTTCTTCAATGCTTCTTCCCCCTCACTATCATGATCCCAATTCTACCTTACAAGTCTGGCTAGACCAGAGGATCTACACTGGTACAGATAAGAGCTGGAAACATGGGGAATTCAGGACAGATAAATGAGAGTAGTGATACCAGGAGGGTAAGAGGGGAACTGATCACAATGATCTAAATATAACCCCCTCCCAGGGGGCTGGGAAACATAAAAGTGGGTGAAGGGAGACAGCAATCAGTGTAAGACATGGAAAAAAAATTATCAAGGGTTCATGAAGAAGGGAGTGAAAAAAATGAGATGATACCAAGGGCTCAAGTAGAAATGTTTTGAAAATGATGATGGCAACATAAATACAAATGTGCTTGACGCAATGGATGTATGAATGGATTGTGGTAAGAGCTCCCAATAAAATGCTTTTAAAAAAAGTTATATAACTTGTTTCATGTTCTACTTGCACATGTAATAGAGACAAGATACAAACCATGTCCATCTGACTTCCCAAGCCATGTTTTTGGCCATTTCTGTATATGGCCCCGTTCCCAGCTGTTGCTCTTACAGACATGGTTCAGAACCCAGGAGTGAAATGCACCTTCAGTCCTCCCTTACATTTTCACCATGATGATTGCCTCCCCTAAGTCCCAAAGCAACCTTCTTGTCTCAGTGTCATACCTACACTTCTTTAAACCTCAGGTTTGGCTGTAGGATATTTCTGGAGGTCACGTGTGGGGGTGTGGAGAAGCCATCAGGCACACTGACAAGTGGTGTTACAAAGGTGTATGCTAGGGTCAGGTTATCTGGGATTCACAACTTTTAAGCTAAGTTGCTTCGCCTCTCTGGGCCTCCAGTTTCATTAATCGTAACACTGGCATAGTATTGGCACCAG